TTCACTAGTGTTTCTTTTCACTGCATTTATTTAGATGTGCAAAGAGTTCTTATTTATATCTCACTTCTATCTCTTACCATCTCTGTAACCAAATTATGGTTTATCTCTTCCAGGATACTCAATTTTTCCTTTTAGAAACACTTTAAATGTTGATTATATTTGGTTTGAGGGTTTGGGAGGCCTTTTTCTGCTTGTTTATTTCAATAGAAAGGTTTTTTACTCACTTGYCAGGCTTACAGAAGTATTTTTTGAGGGCTCAGAATTTAATGGTGCCAATCATGTTTTGCACCTTTATTTGRCCTTTATTTTCTTAGCAAAAATTGTCTCTGCCATGCAGAGTTTTAGTTTACTGCTGTTTCTGTTGCTGGTAGAAAACATCTTAAAATCCCTATGCTGCTTAGCTTCTGTGTGAATAGTGAAACTAAAATGCACAACCATTAATGGAGAAGTGAAACAAATTAACAAATCCCATATGTAATAGGAAAAAAAAGAGGGAAGAAAAGTTGTTTGGTATTTTTGCTCAAGTAATCTTAGGTTTTTATTATGCAGTATAAAAAGTGTACCGTAATCAAATTGAAATCTGCTTTTCTGGGCAAGGCTGAGTGCCTCTTAAAGCTGATTTTGAGGCATACCTTGTAATCTTCTTGGAAAATCTGATGGTGAGGTAGTGTGTTTTTTTAGAGCATGGCACAAAGGGTAGAGAATTACTGCTTGTTTGGAAAAAAAAAAAAAGGTGGGAGGGGAAATCCCTAATTCCAGGATTAGGCTTTAGGATTGGCAGTTAAAGCACAGACACTCATTTTTTTTCCTGTAATCTGAGCAAGTAATTGTCTGACACAATAACCATGGAAAAATAATCCCTTCTCTGAGGCATTTTTATAATGCTTTTCACTGAGCCAAAGTGARTTGGGAAGCAGTGTGTTAGCTGGGACAGGCACTGACTGGGGTCGTTTCTTTGCTCTGGAGATGGAAAGGTGAAGGTAGTGGCATGAAARCTGCATAAATGAGGCTACTCATGAATTACTGAAGGCCTCATTCATTATCTGTGCAGAGAGAGAACCTGGCTGATTGTTSCCCTAGAACAAGATTTGATGCACAATTTAAGGAAAAAACGGCTTTGTAGAGGCTGGATAATTTCTTCTCTTTTTGCCTTAATGAGAGTTCAACAGACTGAGGGCCATGATCAGGGAGTRTGAGATGCTAGCTATATTTTGGCTTTCTCTTTTAAGAAAGCAAATGGTTCACCCTCCAAAACCAGCACAACATGTACCAACAGTGAAGTTGATATAAATCCAAATTCTTGGCTGTACTTGAATGAAGTGCTGTCTGTTTGAAAACCTGTTTAACATCCCCTCTGAGATGCCAGAGTGCGTTATTGTTATTTCATCTCTGAGATAAATATCTTGATTGGGAAATAGTTACTTTCTTAATAAGGAGGAAGTGTCCAATTATAACAGATATGATGTTTGTCTTCTCTTGATCTGTCTTGTTGCAGTTTAGGCTTGCCACACCTTTGATCACTGTAAATAACCACAGTTGTTGGAGCACAGTTGTATTTTTGTGGAGGAGGCTGGAAAAGTATAGTTTTACCTGATGCACTCTCTTTTTATTATATGCATATGCCTGTGCAGTTCCCAGCACAGAATTTGGCCCTTGTAGAAAATACCTTTTGGCATACATCAGTTATAACTAAGCCAGTAGAAGCTAGCCCTTAGCTTTGGCTGAAMAGTAACTCAGTCTTGTCTGGACTCTGTTTTTGGTGAAGTGGCAGGAAAAATCTCAGTTCTTTTTGAGCCAACTCATAAAAAAATGTTTCTTGCTTTACCATGATTTTTTTTAAAGCAACTGAGAAGTTTATAGTAAAACAGTTATGGTTTTAGAGTAGGCTTACAACTAAATAATAAATATTTGATGAATCAAAGCATATCCATAAATGTTAGTGCTGTAAGGGACTATGTGCTTGAGAACCACAGTAGCAATGTAGCCAGAATAATAAATAAATTATTACAACTTTTTCAAGTTTCTCTTCATTAAAATAGAAGAAATTCAACCTTTTGCTCCAATGGTACCAAGGTTATCAGTTGCCAGTCTGTGACTTCATGTTGTGAAAATGGAGCTCTTGAGACTGGAGAATTACCAGCAAAGAGATTTGCATCCAGCAGTACTGTATGTCTCATTTGTTAAAGCATTTTATCTTTCATGATCACTCTAAAAGCCCAAACTGCATTTAAAGATTTTTTTTTCTGTTTTAGCAGTTTACAAAAGCACACAGACRCACCTGCATTTTACCAGACAGGCTGTATTAATAAACTAAATCAAGTTTCAATAGATTGAATAAACTAACTATACTGGAAAAAAATTGGGACAGGTATCTTTCAGTCAGTTTTCCAATTCATCTAGAAAATGGCACATAGATACATACTGTTGYATTTTTTAGCAAGGGTATATTACAAAAAGGTGTTAATGTTTCATTAGGTGGTCAATGTYATTTAAATTAAGTATGTGTTTTGCAGATAGCATTATATGTTCTAAGAAAGAAGTTTCAGATATTATTGCAGGAAATTAATTAGGTTGTTCTTATTATTTGTCTTACTTGGTTTACTGTTTGCAATGATGAGGAATTARTTTTTCTTATTCCTTATCTGAATAGCTAGAAACAGATCTCTCTTATTTTCTATGTCAGCTATTTGTTCTTACCAGAATAGTTCTGTCTCTTACAAGTGGATGTTAACTTGACTGGTTAACTTCAAAGTTCATGTCATATTCTCCCTGTTTTGCTCTATGGTGTCTTTGGCCACTATTATGCTGCAGATAGGAATTTATATTTTGCCTTGTCCTTTAACACTTTTACTGAAACTGTCACTTTGCTTTCTTCTTGTTGTAATGCCTAATTTCTATTTTCTGCTGTCTTTGATATCCAGTTGCAGATGGAAGGAATATTTGTGTGCCAAGAACAATTACACTCATTTTTGCTGCTTTAACAACTTTTGATTCTGAGTCTTTGCACTTTTTTTTTTTTTTTTTTTTATGAACAGTCTAGAAAGGGATCTGTATATCCCTGTGCATGTCAGTATGGAACTGAAATCTTCATTCTTTTTTTCCTCTCCTGCAGTATGTAGTAACATTTTCTGTGGCCTTCAGGTCTCCTCCTTCAGACTGCAGAACATAAAGTGCAGTTGCTGTCTTCTTATAAATACARAAAAAGTTTTATTGTGTCAGTGCTGAATGAGCTTGCTGTCATTTCACATGCAAGTAAAACTTGCTGTGTTTGTTTTTATAACAAAAAAAAAAAAAAAAAAAAAAAAAAAAGAAAAGAAACAAACAAAAGCCTTTTGGATTTTGTCTTGTTCTTTTCTCTCTCCTTAGCAACCCCTCCTTTATTTATCCCTACCAGCCTCACCCACCTTTTAATCAGTTTTCCCTATGTTTCAGCACTTTCCTGGGTTGCTTTTCAACTCATTGTTTATATCATACCTGTGCGTCYCCCTTTCATTTATGTTTTTTTCCTCAGATTGCCTGCATGGCAAACATGCTCAGCAGCAGTTGATATGAAATAGAAATACAGGTCTGACCTTTGAAATTATTTTAATTGCCACTAACCTAAACACTGTCAGTATAATGCTGCAATTGTGCTGCACTAGGCTCTTTCCTACTGATAATGGTAGAGGTGTTGTTGACACTAGTAACATGCAAACTGTGATTAGTTCCTTGGATCAGCCATCGTTCTAAGTGGCCTATTGAGGACTAGGTGTTTATGTGATACAGGATCTTGTCTTAGAATCCATAACTGAAATCAGCTAAATTAAGATTTTTTAAAAAATATTTTAGTACATATTTTCTTAATACAGCTGTTTCCTATGAGAAGTTTCTCTGATTACTCTAAAAAGRGAGATAGTTTGCATTAGTATTGCAGGTTGGAAAGCAGTAATCTGAGAGACTGCATGTAGCCAAAACTTTGGATGAAAGCCAAACCTTTCATCAAGCTGTTTTAATATGATGATACACATGCAGTTACAGTGACCAGTTAACAGATGTAGCCTTTTGTTGTATGCAGAAATTATTTTTTTTCCCTGTATATTTTCTAATATGATATGCTGAATGTGTCATAAGGCAGTGTTGTTGAACAGCACTACTGAGCTGTTCATTTTGTGCCCTGCATATAACTCTTAGCAGGTGACTTCTGTCTTGTTTAGAGGGGCACTGGTCTGCAAGAGACTTGTGCTCAATGTGCTGAAAAGATACATTAATGCTGACATTGAAATTGAGCTGATCAAGTCCCTTGAAAAGACTCTTCTTAATATCAACTGCCAGAGTGTCATAGGAAAGAGTAGTAACTTAAGCAGGGATCCATAAAACAAAGATGTTAAAAGGATAGAAAGGACTTCGCTGGTAGACATGTAAGTAGGCACAATTTTTGGAGTTGTTAGTACAGAATGATATGTCTTCAAGCTGTGACACACRTAGTGTTGGATACATTTCTATTTGCTTCTGGAAAAGAAAATCTCCCTCTTCTGGGAAACTATTCATTGCAAAAATGAGTATRCAGAGGGGGAATATTTATAGAAGGTGAGAAAATATTTTGGGTTTCATGAGGAGTGAATAATGAATTATTCAGTCAAGTGCAAATGACTTAAAGGGAAAATACGAAAAGATAAGGTACCTGGTTAATTTATTTTTTCTGTTAGGCAGTAAATCAGCAGGGGACATATCAAAGAAAAACTTTCACTTCAAAATTATCCTAAATCGAGATCTTAAAAATTTTGCATTGTGAATTGTGAATGGAGTTTATTCAATCTGTGCATATAGTTCTAGCCTGTAGCTAAAAGAAAATTGTATYCACTCACCAGAGTGCCTTTGTTCTGTTTTTCTGCTGTTTGAATACATTGTCATCRCTCTTAATCTGTTGAAGTAATTTAAGAAATCTTGGTTTAAAATTAGGTATTTTACAATTTCACATATCATCATAAATCATGAATGTTTGGGTTTGTRTTTCATTGCAGCGGAAAACAGATGTGCCACTTCAAATGCAGTAACATGCACAAAGTGTCTTGCTTTGGGCCCAGAGTGTGGATGGTGTGCTCAAGAGGTATGGCATTTTGCTTAATTACATTTGACTTTATATTTTAACTGCTTCTGATCTTTGTAAAGATAAAGACTTTTAAACTGAGAAAATTCTAATGAGAAATAGCAAGAAAATCTTTGAATGACCCCTAGAGACAGAAACTGAGAAATCATGTGAAGTATATTCTGTTTCCAAAGGAGAAAAAGCAATCTTTTATTTGGAAAATTGCAGTAATTTTAAATAAAGTGAGAACTTTTTAATGCATTCCATCTGCTTTGTAGACAGCTTTGGCAGACTTACAGTAGCTTTGAGAGTTTAACTGKTTTTGGCTTCAAAAGCAAAATTACTTATCAGTACTTTATATTATATTAAAGTCCTCATCACATATGAAAACAAGTCTATACATATATATCTACTGCATTTCACAAAAGTTTGTACTAACAGTGGAGTTGACTTTGACTTCACCATATATCATGATCCTATCACAAATGGAAAAAATTATGCTTTTCTTATTTTGACACTTGAAACCATCAGTTCTGAGACTTAGCACAGGAGATAGATAGTAGGTAGCAAGAATAATTCTGAAATTGTTACTTCGCAAACTGTAAGAATATGAGAAYTTCTGGTTTTGTTTGACAGAAACAAAAAAACCTGTTGATAGTGTGATTTTGAAAAAGCACTTTGGAGGAGCAAAGTTTTGAAGACTATCACTGACAATTGCAAGCTGAAATGCTCTTTAAGGTCACATGCAAATTATCAGGAATGGCTTTCAGGTTAGCAGAGAGGGTACATGAGTTACTGGGGTGTGTCTGGAGGAGATAAGGAGTGTAAGGCACTGGGTAATTTTATCTGAGATACTGTGTGTTGGAATTATTAACTTAGTCTGCCAAAAGTACAAGGATAAGTAATGCGAGGATAGGCTTGTTTTCCTCGAGCACGCTTTGGGCATGTGTAGATGGCACAAAGTATTACAATGTGGAGGGATTCATTCTTTTGGCCTCTTGCTCTGATTCACAAAGGGCATATCCTCCTCCATCTGCATTTATCACAGAACAGCTTTTGCTATGGAGCTGCAGTAGATTTCTTTCTAACTAGGCATGTGGATTTGAACAGTTTCACTTCTTTTCTTCTCTTGCTTCACTTCTCAAGTCAGTCCTGAGAGCCGTTCATGGACGTCAGGGCTTTGTCAAAGCCCTCTTAAACAGGTTTAGCTGGTTCAGCTACACACCATTCATGATTATGGAACAGCAAAACCCATATTATTGCAGATGGAAATATTCTAGAGTGAAGTTACAGGAGCASTGTTCAGCTTAGCATGTCTGCTTCATCAGAACGATACTTTTAATGAGAAAATCAGCCCTGAGGAGATCTTGATATTATTTGAATTTATACCCACATAGAGTTTGGACTTCAAAAAAATGCTACACATCTATTAGTCTTTACTGGTCACGAGAGTAGCTAAATTCCTTACACATTTAAGAATCTAACTTTTTGAAATATGTACACTAAAAAGGGTATATAAATAGCAGCAACTTAAAAAATAGTCTCTGTTGTCTACARTAAAGAAGGTTATGGAAAAAATATATGAGAAGTGGACTACAAAAATGAGCTGGAATTTGAAAAATAAGACACATTACTGTCCAATTGCACTTTTCAGGGGCTTTCTGTAGTCTTTGAAGGGTCTGGATGACTATTATCTAACACACAGTTGACTGCATTTTARATTGCTTATTTTCCCCATTTGCCTCTGAAAGATCAGAGATTGTCCTTTGGTTGGTCTCCAGCTTTGGCTCGGATGGACCAATACTATGAAAAACTACAAAGGATCTTGTCTTATGTTCAGAATCGTATTAATCATCACATTTGTGGTCAGGAAGGAATTTTGCGTTGGATCATTTTGGCACAATTTTGGCAATTTTGCCCTTTCAGTGCAGCAAAGAATAGGCTGCTTCTGACATCATACTTCTACTAATCCTTTTTCTGTTGCTACAAGGGCTTTTTTATGTTGATGGCATCTTCAACTGTCCACTCTGTAATAATACATGGTTTCCTCTTTCCAGGAATTGAAATTATATAGTCCAATAGGWTTTTGGATTTTGTGCAGTGTGATAGACAAATTCAGGTTGGCTAAATCTAAGKCTGACCTCTGGGGTTCCTATTAAATATTAGCCTGAATAATGTTACCAGTGGATTCCTTTGAAAACTAACCTGTTTTGATTGTTGTGAGAATGACACTTTCATGCTATAATAAGCTCATAGCATGGCASAGAACTTTTTTTAGTGACATAGGGACAGTATGTAATTTCCTTTTTCTCCAAAGCTGGCTTGTTCTGATTGTGCAAGATCCTATTTCTCATGAAAAAAAAATTCTGTGTCATTGCAGCAATTGAGTTTAACTTCTAATTTAAATAGTGCCTCATTGCCATTATTAAAAGCATCTGGCTTCATGAACTTGTTCTATGTGCAATTATAGTAGCATATTTTATTGTTTCAAAGATTATTTTTTGCAGTTCTTCATCCTTTGAAGGTAGTATAGGGTTTTTTTTCATCTCAGATTGTTTTGTCCTTTTTGTCTCTTATTAAACAGGATTTCATGGCTGGCACAACACAGAAGGGACGCTGTGACACTGTTTTCAACTTAATGAAAAGAGGCTGCCAATCAGATTTGGTTGAAAACCCCACGGTTCATGTCACAATACCTAGTGACCACGAAACAAATACACAAGTGACACCAGGAAAAGTTTCAGTCCAACTGCGTCCAGGTTGGGTCATCTCTAACACATTGATTTTATAGTAAATTTAAAATAAAAATACTTTAAAAGTACAGATATTTCATAAAGAGGCATCTGGAGTATTTATTTGGAAGAATGATGCTGTATTGTAGGACTGTGATAATGTTACTCCTATATTCAAGTATCATCTTCAGCAAGAATTGCTTTTGTCAGACACAGTTGAAGGTCAGAATAGTGCAAGTAATAAGTGGAAAGGGAATTTTAGGTAGTCCTTCCTGTTTTCTGATGTGGTTCCTTGATTCTTTAGCTACTTACACTCACAGTTTTGCCTTACATGTGTATAAAATATTCCTCCTGAAAGTAAATTGAGTTATAATTTCTAAATTCATAATTTGATAAACWTCTTGATTATTTCTTTACTTTCAAATGCATTCACTAGACAACTACATAAATATCAAAACTATTGTGTTAGAAAGGACTGAAATCCTAAAGAAGACTTAGATACTTGCTGCCTATTTTTTTTAATAAAATATGAGATATCTGGCCTTGATAGAGGTCTGTTTGTAAATCTGAGATTTTCTAGTATATGTCCATTTGCCCTTAGCTGAACTCCAGTTAAATCAGGGATCATTCTCMGTCTTTAAAAAAGCTGTAAAGAGCAGGGAAGGGGATATAAAGGGATGCAGAGTTATCTTTCACTCAATAAAATTTAGTTTCTWTCTTTTACAAAGAATAATTGGAGAAAGAAATATATAAGAGGGATCAGTCTTTGGGAGGAAAGTGTGAAATGATTAGGAGAAGAATTTTGCTGATCTTCACTGTAGAAATGATAATTTTCTGTCAATTTCAATGAAAAAAAGGATCTGCATGTGTGAAGCACAAAGGAGCTCTGTTTTTCACTCTTTGTAATAATAAAACTGTCCAAGTAACATCAGCACTTCTCCTTTCCTCACTCTCCTTCCAAAATAGTGACTGATACTCTGCTTTGTACTGAGAAATGGTCTCAGGAACTGAGCTACCTCTAGCTCTGTCTGTAATCACATTTATTTCCAAAGACATGCTGGATTAATAGAAAGAAAAGCTAAAATTTGGTGTCATGAACACTTTTTTCCAGTAAATAATGAAGATAAGTTTGGAGTTGTTAATGCTTTGCAGAATTCTTRCATCAGCAAGGCAGAAGAATGAAATTCCAAGAACTCCAGAAGAATAACTTTTTATATATAGATATCTTGCCCATATTTTCTGCCTAAGGGAAATACACAGATACACCACTATAGCTTTTCCTCAAAACAGACACTTGGTACAATATAATCACGCAGACAAAGATGTTTTTGTTTTGATACTGGCTTTTTTTTGTCACTGTTTACATACACTCAACATTTAGGATTTATGAGGGAGAAAATAAAAGCTATACTCAGTATCTTGCTCTATGCAAACTGGAARCCTGCAAGGGTTGTTTACAAAAAGTAATTCAATTTACATTGGCAAACAGGAAACATAAATTACAGAACACTGAAATTGTTTTCCTTATGCAAGACCTAGTACAGACAAATCCTAACATTTTCAGGTGGATAATGTTCAAAGACCATTAGAAGAGATTGCTTTGCATATTTTACTTTTCTGAGTTGGATCTTTATAGCAGATGTACTTTTTGATAGTTTTTATTGAAAACCTGTCSAGTTCTGTAACATCTTCCTTCTTCCTATCCTTTGCTGTATCTTCATTGCACAATCCTGGGTTAGATTGGCCACTCAATTCATGAAGATCCTAAACTCATTTTTTTCTGTGATCTCATGCTTTGGGTGACTTAAAATGACAGCCAATTTAAAACAATGACTTACTGTACTGTCATGGTATTCTGCCCATACTCGTCACTTCACTCCTTATGCTGACATTACAGAATATGTGAGTTTTATCAGCTTYCAAAGCATTAATGTATTTATTACATATAAGAACACGTTGTGGTTCTGCATAAGAGACAGACATCTATCATCCTGAAATAATTCTGTTTTGTATATGCCAAAAGATGGGGGATTTTTTATATTAAAGCCTTTTTAAAAAAATTATTTTGATCCTACTGAGTTTTCTCGTCAAATCTTTAGAAGCAGTTTTGGTTGAACTTGTAGGATTATTTACATAAGTTTTCAGGCTCTGCTGTCCTTGTGGTGCATATRTGGTTTTAAATTCTGTCATATGACAAACTATTTGCAGGATACATTTACATACTTTGAAGTGTTAACCTTGAAGTGACTGACCCCAATTTGTATGCAGATCTGTGTTCTTTGTGAGCCACAACTGCCTTYTGGTGTAATGCCAAAGGGATTGCATAACCATGAACTTAAAAGAAAATGGGGAGAAGTCAGATTTTTACAAGAAATTGCACAGTGCCCCTGCAGGAAGAAAAAACACAAGATGTTTTACAAAACACCCCTCTATGTCTTATTTTTGAATGATTCTTAAAGGTTTCATTTACTCTTGGGAGATTTTCTTGTTTGTTTTTTTTTTTCTCTTTGCCGACACGACTAACTTTTGCTGAGGTTGTTACAAAAATAAATGCATTTTCAAGCATGTCCATTCAAAAATAGTAAATAAACTTACTTGTTTCTCTTTTTAATCAGGAACTGAAGCAAACTTTATGTTAAAAGTTCGCCCTCTAGAGAAATACCCTGTGGATCTTTATTATTTAGTTGATGTCTCAGCCTCTATGCACAACAATATAGAAAAGTTAAATTCYGTTGGATTTGCTTTATCTAAGAAAATGGAGAATATTTCTCTTGATTTTCGACTTGGATTTGGATCCTATGTGGATAAAACTGTGTCACCCTAYATTAGCATTCATCCAGGTAGAATCCATAACCAGTGCAGGTATGTAGTCTTTTTACATTTGCTGTARAACTGAGGCATGTGTATTTAATTACACAAATATGTATTATGCATATTTATTTTTTTAATTCTTCACAATTTATCTTTGTTTTCTTATACCTTGGTTCTTTGGCAAAGTTTCTAAGAGAATGCTGAAAATTGTTTTACAATGATTACTGCTAAAATACCTGGTGAGTGATTTCAGAAAAACTTTCTGTGTCAGAAAAAAAGTGCTGTATTTTCTTTAGCAAAACAAGCCAAACCCCATGGTGCTTTGTAATATTTGGTTATGTTTTTAATTTAATTTTAAAGTCAACTGTTGTGGTTTTGGTTATTTTGGATATATGTTGCCTAGATTCATCACAAAGTTTTGTGCTTTCTGACCTAAGTACTTTCGAGTGTATGGTCATGTATTCATTAACTGTTTTTTGTAAAACTCTTCTTTTGTCAACATGGTGGGGCTCCTTTCAGCTCACTTAATGGACAAAAGTGATCCTCCAATCTACTTCTACAGTTCTAATGTGAATGAACTATTTTAAATAGAAAAGATGTTCTGGCCTGCATTTGTTTTTTCATGCCATGTCACATGTACCTTGTGTTCAGCATTTATATTAAAGTGAGGGATCACTTCCAAAACCCTTGGAAAACGAGAGTATTCATAACAAATTCAAAGTTGTATAAATGATAGTACTTGGAAAAGTGAGTATTAATTTTTTTGTACTTTCTTGCTTGCTTTTCCTGGGAAGACTTGATCCAGAGTTCTGTGAAATCCTTAAGTATGTTTTGTGATAGTGGGTTTGAATTGGTTGCTCATAGTGGAATTTGTTCTGTAGATGTGACTGGCTATGCATTAAGCATAGATTGACCATCGGTATAGAGTGAGTGGAGATCTGTTAGCATTTCTAGGTCATGATTGCCTAGATATCTGCAGAGGTATTAATCCTTTCAATTCCAGTTCCTCTTTGTTGACTGTACCTTGAGTTGGAGGAGGGTRGGTTGCAGTCTGGATGCCTACACTGTATGCAGTACAAGTTCAGAGAGTTGAAACCTGATCAGCATTTCTGRAGTGGATAAGCCCTTCAATTTGTGCCAGAAATCACAGCTGTGAATGGGTTCCAGATCAATGACCTGTATAAGTTTCACTACCTTACCTACCACAAGCATCAGACTTTCTCCCTTAAATATAATTTTAGAAGGTATCATTTGCTAAGACGGTACTGAAAATGAAGTTTCTCATCTCTTTAATGAGGTAACTTTTATTAATTCAACATTATGTACATTTACATAAAACTAATGGATGTAGGAACTTCTATTTTAGCTTGATCCAGTAGCCTGTGTAGCAACCTATTAAAGGATTTTAATGTTTCAATGTGATAGTCCTTTCTCAGGATAATGAAAAGCAAAGCTGTACCGCTGTAGATATTCCAAAAGGATTTGTATACTCCCTGAGATCATACCATCCCTTTTGTTGCATTTTTGTTCAGTACAAAACTCTCCATATATACTGTTACTATATTAAGTTATTACATACACTGTTCCATAAAATACAAAATAATATATATTTTTTTAGCTATTTGTAACTACTTCCCACTGAACTTAATTTCACATGGAATTTTTTTTTTTCTATAAGTATTTCTCATACTCTGCTTTCTACATCTTCATTAGYATCAGGATTTTATGAGTTAATGGGGTTGCAATATTTTCATCTCCTTCAAACAAAAAATAAGTCTTTTGATTTCTTTTGTTTTTGTGCAGTGATTACAATTTAGATTGTATGCCTCCTCACGGTTATATTCATGTGCTATCCCTGACTGACAATATAGCAGAATTCAGAAATGCAGTGAATAAACAAAAAATTTCTGGGAATATTGATACACCTGAAGGGGGTTTTGATGCAATGCTCCAAGCAGCTGTGTGCCAGGTAAGGAAAGAGCTTATTTACAAAAGACTAAAGAAATAGTCATTAGGCACTAACTATATCTATATATAGCTATAGCTATATCTATATCTATCTATCTGTCTCCCTCTCTCTCTATATATATGTATATATCTACAAGTGCAATGGTGCTTACTGTTCCTGAATTCCAAATCCAGTTCTTTGCCTGATAATACTARGATTTCTTCCTTCTTTTCCATTATTTCCCCCTTAACTATATATTTCCTATTGGAACAGAAAAAAGAGAGCTTGAGGGAAAATGCTTCATTATTGGTTAATGATCTTCAAATGCTGGCTTTACCTAGCCTAACCAGCATAGGATGGATGATGAAAGCAACTGCTTGTTTGAATGGACACATGTATTAATTTCAGTCAATTACACAATTATTTTCAAAAATCATCAAAGCACTGCTTGTGCTCCTGAGTGAAGACATACCATATGACTTTTCTTCTCCTTAAGGACTTGAAAACTGAGTGATTACTTTTACATATCTGCTTGTGTAGATCAGGAAAACAGAAGAACTTTGATATTCTCAGCTTGTAAAGGTTTCCTATTTTAAAACAGTACAAATCAACTAAAAATTAACTTTTGTATATTGAGAAAATTTCAACACAATCTTTCCCATGAAGAAAAGGATGGAAAAGATCTGCATCAGTAGCTCCMAAACTATAGGCATATTAGATAAAGACAGTTTGTTTTGCTCTAGAGAGCTATTTTGGTTGTTGTTTTTCTTTTTATGTATTCAAATGCAATAGAAATTTTGAAATTTGGCAGATTAATAGGTTTAGTAATTCTCTATAAAATATTCAATTCCCATTCAAATCACAGGCTTGGTGGGTTTCACATCTCTTAGAATATGTCAGGACAATTGTTCTATCTTTTCCATCTTCACATTATTTTTCTGAGTAGTGCAATAACTGAAGGACAAAAGGTTATCTAAACTATGCTAAAAATGAAAAGTTTGGGCCAATTTTATTTTCAAATTTTGGTGAACAGGTAAGTAAAAAGCACTCTTCATAAACATTGTGATTGCAGCTGTTACAAAAAGAATATTCTGGAGCTTTGGAAAAATTCCTTAAAATTCGGTATTTCTCACTGGACACATTCCATACTTATGACGTGAGTTCTAGAATAATATATGCTTCCAAAAACAATAGAATGGAAACATTCATGAGAATGTGGAGACTTTCCTACTAACTGAATTGTGAACTAAAATGGATGGAAACAATGTGCAATTCATAATGGTCATCATGAACTATAAATTGTATTACTGTACACTCATTTTGCCTACAATAGACCTGTAAAACTTGCTCCATCTTGCTTTAACCAATACATCACTGTTGCAAGAGGTAGCAGGTTAGGACCTGGMGCTACTTTAAAATTTTSATTGCTGTGACATAYRTAGGTAGGAATCATAGAATCACAGCACCTCTCAAGTCAGAAGGGACCCATGWGGATCATCGAGTCCATCTTCCTGCTCCTCMCAGGATTACCTAAAAATAAACAAGTGTCAAGGTGACAAAGTCAAATGATGAAGTCTTAGGAGAAAAAGTTTCTAYAGTGYTGGAAGAGAATTATTAAATTATTAATTTAAGACAAAAACTGTTTATAAATAAAACTTAAAATACTCCYTTTTTTAGAGGAATGCTCTCTAGGAGTGTCTGAGGTAGACTGATGCCTAATGCGTAAGTTGGAAAAGATGACACCCTTCCATGTTTGTTATCATTGCTGGCATGAGACATTTAATCCCCATTCAGCAAAGAATGAAGCTGAGAAGGGAGCTAAATTCCCCTCCATGAAGAAGGGAAGGCAGAGAGTAAGTCATGAAGCGTGKCTGAGTACATGGACTGTATTGCAAGTACACATTTCACATGAAAATTGTAGAGTTGAGGTAGTGCCATAGGAAGGAGAAGAAATGGAAGCAGTGAAAAAGAATATGGAATAATCAAGAGAGGGAATAATGAAAAAACATATGATGTGTTTCTTGTATTCCTCAGAAGTTTGATTATAATCAGGGAGATAAATGAAAATACAAATTGGCATCTAAATCAATTTAGATACAAGCTTGCCCTGCTGTATACTTCACATCACTGAATTCCTAAAAGCCATTTAATTTGCCATTGAGGCTGCCACTTTGCTATCAATCCCTTAACATGGTGCAWAAATGTTGCTTTTTGCTACATAATAAGGAATTTCTCAATTTGTAATTGCATGATGACCTTCAAACTTTAGTTTATTGGTTTGTGATCAAATCAATAAGCACTAATGTCCTTTCCAGAAAATTGTCTAGGAAAAGGAAGTCATAGAGTGATGAGAATGTMAAGTAAATAAATACAAAGCAAAAATAGGACAGGGTGCCAAGTATYGATATTTTCTGGTTGTAATGCCTTCTTGGATCCCAGAGAATTTTACGAATTATGTGCTTTGCATTTGTTCCTAAGAATGACACACACAATGTGGCAGCTGTTATCAAGCCCACTRTATAAAGCATAACTGCCATGTATATTGGCACATCTTCCTTTTAAAARCAAGGAAAGTGGTAAGGGGGAAAAGGCAAAGAAATTGGTAGTGTTCAGATGTAGAACATTGTATCTATTTCCACACAAAATGMTTTAAATAGCCTGGTTTAAACTCAGTGCTGCCAAGCAGTGTAATATCTGAAAGTAGACTTTCACGTTAATTTTTCATTTTGTTACTGGTTGTTCTAGGAAATAGGTAGCTACTGCTTTCTTATGCCTAATTTTGTTTTTGTTTTAGAGCCATATTGGATGGCGTAAAGAAGCAAAGCGACTGCTTCTTGTGATGACAGATCAAACTTCCCATCTGGCMCTTGATAGTAAATTAGCAGGAATTGTAATTCCCCATGATGGAAACTGTCATTTGAAAGATAATGTGTACATCAAAGCTACGAGTATGGTAAGGTATATGTCATAGATTTTGCCTTCGGAGAGGCAGTGCAAAACTGTGGAAAGGAGGTTTTTAGACTGCTGTCAAGGAATTGCTTTTATTTCAATTATTAGAATAGCATTTTTCCAGGTAGGCAAGTTGTGAAATGAATGGTCAACTTTGGCATTCTTTTTGTGTGGACTAAAGTATTCTGGAGTCTGTAAAACACAGTACACAGCAGAGGASGATATGTTACCGGTTTTGGTGTGGGTTTTTATTAGCATCTCATAAAAAATCACGCACATTTTGTATCAAATATAAGCAAGAAGTGTCTGGTAGGATATTTTGCACAAGTAGAAGCTGATAATATGTGAGAGTTGCACAATCATGCTAATAAGACAAAGGTAGTGGCTGTGGTTTATGGTCAGAAGATACACAGGTGCCTTGGTTGAAAAGGCTTGGTAAGAGTAAAGCAGAGGGCGTGCAACAGCAATGAGCTACCTCAAGYGCCTGGACTAGCATTAAATGCATTTAGATTTCAAAATAGAAAGCCAATGTGTGGTAATACACACCTCTGCAAAAAGTTGCATCAAATCTGCTGTAGCAAAATGAGACGCATTCAACAGATATTTTTAGCTTTCAAAATATTTTCTTCAGAAAAGTATAAAGTAATCATAAGTGACTGAAGAAAAGAGTTTTTGTCTAACAATTATAGGTTTCAATTGCTTTGGGTATTTTCTTAAATAAATATGAATTGTTTATCTAAGAAACAAGAATTGCTGCTTAACTACAGTTGTGTGCAATGGCTGTTGTGTGATCATGAAATATGGGAAGTTTCTGGGAAGCAGTGAGTGTTTGGGACCTTGCTGAGCGGAGGAGGGAGATGAGTGTTTGCTAACAGGAAGGTTGTTTAGATTTCCGATTATCTGACGTTCTTGCATTCAAATACTCCCTCTGTCACCTCTTGGGTATTCCCTCCCAGATGTCTTTTTTTTCACTCTAATCACTCTATTCAGTTTATTCTCCTTAGAACAAATAATACTGAAACTTTTAATTCCCAAACAGAACGTWCTCTGTTTTCTTTCTTTTGTTTTCCTAGTTGCAGTTCTATTAATGAGAGGATGTTTGCTCTGCTTATTAAATCATGGCTAAAGGTACAAATCTTTTTCTGGTGTTCAGGATTCCTTTGATAATAAAGATTTTKTCTGTTCCAGGAAAAAAAAAAAAAAAGTCAGTCTTTTTATTTTCTGTCCAACTTCAGGAATTAATTTTTGTTGCAACTGGAGAAAATTGCCATTAGAAAATACAGACAAAATTAATAAGTCTCTTTCTAAGTAGCTAGGATAGATTGATGGCTGGCTAAAGCAAGAAAGGTGTTTTAACTCATGTTCTGCRTTCTGGTTTGAAAGATCGTAATTTTACTGTCCTATATGAAAAAAAGAAATCCCCATGATTACTACTACTATTAATGCATTTTATGAAATKAGTTTTTTAGCCACCCACATGAAATATCCTTGAAAGATGCTTAGATCTTTGGTGGCACTTTTAGGTCCATATGTATTCTGGCTGCTAACCCTTTTTTTTTTTTTAATATGAGCTAAATTTTACATGCCCACATGTTAGCAGTAGGCATGCATTTAGTACTAGAAAAGGGTCAGCAAGAGAATCTTTCTTAGCATTGTATTTTCTAGAGTAGATTTGATGACAGCACAATAGTGTCTGTGAGGGAAAGTGTGCTGGTTTTCTGCTTTTTTTCTTCTCATACGTGTTTATGTGATTATTTTATTCATGGATATCCACAAAGAAACTTCAAATGAGCTAGTGAAATGAGGGAGCTGGGAAGACTATTTGATATTTAAGTAAAATTTCATGAAAGTCAGTCAGTCTTTTAGAAAACAGAAAATATGAAATGTGGTTTTGACGTTTTTTCATATCAATACAATTTTGTTAGGCTGGCTAAATTAAAGAGACTTCTGTAATCCCATTGTTTTCTTGTTTTCATTGTTAGCTTTGGGTAGTCGTGAGAAGATTGCGTTTTGGCATATTTTTGTTTCTTACTTGTGCCAGTTAACAGGACTTTGCTTTATTTATTTGCGTAAGCTTAGCCTTTACATCAGAAATGTTTCCACTTAGGCATTTTTCTTCATGTTTCTTTCTAACTTTTGCTAAGCAGTCACAGAAAGGTCAGCAAAAAAAATGCATGACAGGAAAGAAATCTAGTCCATTTTAATTAGATCTGTGCTTGGTTAACTCCCTTTCTGAAATACTTAGCATTTGTTATCTTCTCAGCTTAACACRGCAGGTTAAAATAATAAGGTGAATGATGTAATTGAAACAGGAAAGATGATCTAAAATTAAAATACATTTGTCTGAGCAGTAGTGGGAAGAGATAAGATAAAAATGCATAAAGTACAAAAAGGTTTTCACAGCAAGCCAAGTGAGGCTCCTTGAGTGACCACTGGTACCTTATGTCATCTCTCTACATGCTTAAAATTAAAAAGATAGTGTGGGTCTGTTAATGCTTTGGGGTTTTGGGCGTTTTTAAACTCAATTCTAAGAAAAGGAAGCAAGAACCTGGACACTGGTGAGTTATTGACAAGTACATGGAAGTTCAGCTTTACTTGCAGAGGTAATCTGGGGATCCAGTTCCTGCAGCCCTTGCACATCTGTAGGTGTCATCTCTTGACTCCACTAAGCTCTCTCTGAGTGAGTTTTTGTTTCATGAAGGCTTGGAAAGCTATTTCTGATTCTCCTGATTCCAGAGTTCAGCTACTAGTTGCATACATGTTGAGGGGTCACTGTGCTGGAATTCAGACAGGTCTAGTATCATGTGCTAAGCAGGAAGGCTGACTTATTTTGCCACCATCTCATGATCCCTCGATACTGCCCCTGTCATTCACACATTTACAGTGCAGGAGGTGTTTGCAGAACATTTGGCTTCATTCATGTCCTGGGACCACTTGGTGTGTCTGTGACCTGCCAGCCAACTGCACGTGGCTGTCGGGTTGTGCAGCACACACGGGGCCCCACCACCATGCTGTGTCATGGAGAAGGAAGGAGGGCTTAGTGCTGTGTTGTAGGCTGCTGAAAATGCCACCAAAGCCACCACTGCTGCACTTACTCATGACTCCTGTGTGGTGGAAATGCCTGCTCTCTCTCCAGGGAGCATGGCACTCTCTTCAGCTGGAGCTGGGAGAAGGCCTTTTTAGTACTGTGTTATCTACCTTTCATCAGTTATCTTGAGGAATGTAATCTTTTAGCAAAGGTTTGAGACGTTGAGAGAGGCGTGTACCCTGGCTAATATCAAACTGCAYCGAGAAGGTCCTTTGTTCTTTCTGTACAAGGCTCTTTATAATGGTGCAATATGATGGAAAATGGATTTTGCTCCCTTGCATAACTTTGTCTCAGTGGCCTTGCTATTCAGATTATTGCTAGCAAAGCTGCTGACTTGCAGGGTGCTTTGAATAACAAGGGACAATCTGAGGAAAAAAGAATTGTGGAGGGAAACAGACTGTGTTTTTGAAAGAGAGACAAAATGGGGAAGATGGTAGAAAATACCAGGAAATGAAAGACAACAAACATATGTGGAGGGAACCCTGACATAAGTGAAGGTGTCCAGATGGAATATCTCTAAGTGGAATCATAGGCCAAGGCTCCAGTCACTTCTTTCTTTTTAGCCACAAATTTTTAGTGTTGAATTTACTTCTTGAGAACTATTCACTTAGCAATGKTTAATAAGTGGTGATTTTCAGATATGGTTTGCTTTAGCGTACTGGAGCTGAAGTGATGTCATATAACCCAGGTGTACAAAGCCTATTGGGACCACAAAGACGCTCTTGAACTTTGACAGATCTTGGGTGAAGAGATTAGCAGCACACCTCTTGTTCTCAAATCCATGTCAGACCTCTCAATGAGAAGTGTAGAATGGCAGGTCATTTGCACAGGACACGCTGTCGTGGGTACTACACCAAAGAGAACAGTGCTGAGGAGAGCTGTGAAACTCAGGCCCATCTTCTTCAAGCACAAATGGTTGAGAAAATGTAGCAGACTGTCGTGGTGAGGCCCGSATTCATCACTGCTTGGGGAGGACTTGAGGATACAGAGGAAAAAACTGTCAGTCCTAAGTGAGAAAGGTACAGAACACTGACATATTGCAAGAACCTTATCCAATAGCTGCATTTAGTTGATGTGTTTGATACCTGGTGCCAAAATACATGTCTGAAAATCAAACTTTTTTAATTGCCCTCCATGTTTTTCCCGAAAGCAYAACTCATCTCAGTGCTTCATGTTGYAGTTTCTCCTGACTTTTGCCCAAGAACGCACCTGTCATTCCTTGTTCTTCTAGATGGACCATGGACCATATCATATCCATATTTTAAATCATCAGACTCAAACCAACAAAATAGTATTATATGAATTAGTCCTCCTACTGTGCAGCAGATCTGCACAGTTCGCAACAGATAAGCCTGGCTCATATCCTGATGACTTTTTAAATTTTTATTTGGATGGCCCCACCTTGTTTTGAATGTAGGTCTAGCATTCTGTGTACATTTAGAAGTTAAGATTGGAAGGTTTTGAAACTCTGTAAGGAATTATACATGAAATGTAAAATTTTTCCATACTAATGTGCAGTCTTCTTATTTCTGTTGTGTTTTGCAGGAGCATCCATCTCTTGGGCAGCTTTCTGAAAAATTGATTGACAATAACATCAATGTTATTTTTGCAGTTCAAGGAAGCCAGTTTCATTGGTATAAAGTAGGTTAGAAACCTGATTTATTTTTTTCAATTTTGAAGGCACAATATTTGTACTAAAAATTAAAACTGTGCATAAATTATTGGTTTTTTTCATAGGATCTCTTACCTCTCTTGCCTGGTACTATTGCAAGACAAATAGAATCACAAGCAGCAAATCTCAATGATTTGGTGGTGGAAGCCTATCAGGTATGATGAGAGTGACAATGTTGTATGTAATATTTGTACATTTTTCACCATTCATAGCCTGAAGTTTGAATTTCCAGGATCTCAGCTTCCATACAAGGTCCACAAGGATACATTCCCTACTTTTCCTAATGTCCAGGTAGATAGGTAATACTATCTCATGATAGCTCTCAAAGTCCCAGGCTGTCAGGGTCTCAAAGCCAGAAGCTCGTGGTTTTATTTTTCTAAAGATTCTTCTAAATATTCTATTTGATTCTCTGCACTTGTTGCTATGTCACTTCAAAAGAAATGCCTGATTCATTTGAATTTTGGCACCTCAGGTCTTAGTTACAGACCAGATACCACATTCTAAGCACCATATAAATTCAGAGCAAAAACACAATGCAGTATCTGGAGGGTTTTGCAGCATGATTTTTAGAAAACAAGCAAGAGATGGGAATTTACAAGGAGGTCATTTGAGAGCAGTGGATATCATGAAAAGCAGTATTTATACTGCAAAAAGCTGTATAATGGCTTGGGGGTTTCAGGCATGGAAGTGAAGAAGAGTTTTGATAGGGATTTGGGACAGAGCAATTGAAATGGCTTGGTGAACTCTTACGTGGAGTACTCAATTGAATGTCATAGATCGAGAAAGTAATAGTGTGGGAAATAGCACAAAGTCATTTTCCACAAATGCTTGACAGAGAATGGCAATTTGAAAGTAAAATTGCCATCTTGTTAGTGAAGAGGGCATAAACAGCTTTGAAAATGAAGCCAAGAAATAACCATTTGATGTACTGGAGCTCGGTGAGCCCACAAAGCAGCATCAAAATGGATGTGATGGGTTCGATGGCTGGTAAGTTGTGCAGTTACACACAAGCATTCAGATTCAAAAAGTTGAAAACTCAGCTACAAAAGTGTGTGCAAGGTATCCACAGGTATCACTTTCTTTTTTTTAATTAGTTGAATTTGGGAGGCAGAAATTATCCATTTTACTTGCTTAACAATCAGAATCAGGCAATTTACTTACAGCAAATTTGCTTTAATGAAGAGCCAGCTCCCATGTCTATTCCTAGTCCCTAGAGTGCTTTTGCACACATTTTTCTCTATTTCATGTTGGAGACATTGTGCAAAAGGCAGACATTCAAAAGCAGAGGAGTTTAAGGGTAGTCAATTGGCAGAAGAGTTCTCACTGATACTATGCTTCCTCTTATAAAGTCGAGAGATCTCCCTTTGAATACGGAGGTTTGCAGGAAGTTGCTGGCAGAAAATTTTGGTTTAGGTTTTAGTCCTTTTGTATGACACCTTYACACAGTCAATCCTAAATTGTAACACAGTTCTTACCCAGTGCAGGGCAAACATTCAAGGCAATTATTTAGTTCAATACAAAATTCATTGGGACTTTCCTGGTGCAGCCACCCCCAGTTTGCTTTTGCTTTAATCATTGTTTAGACAGTGTCTTTCTTCCCATCCTAACCTTTACTGTATTTCACAGTTTGAGAGTTTTATCATGTTAGGGGCTTCTAATATACAAACACATGGTGAAAAGGTCTTTCTTATTACTTTCTAGAAAAAAAAGACTGAGATAAGAAAATAAAATTAGTGTTGATAGTCAGTGACTGTAGGCCTCTTGCACCCTTGTTCTAAGCAAGGAAACCTTAGGCTTAGCTATGGAAAACCCTGGCTGAAAATCCCTGGCTAAAAAGCCAAAGATGAGTCACTAATTTTTRCAAAGTTACTAAGATAAACATGTGTTCACATTCATGTAATTATATTTCCAATTGTAGCAGTAAAAATATCCCACTAAACTAGTTTTTTCATGGTCATATGGCAGGAATTTTTAAAATCCCTTTGTGCAGTTTTCAGCTCATAGGTTTGTACACAGCTTTAATAAATTTTTAAGTGGTCAAGAAGCAGTATTTCTTCCTTGAAGGAAATAGGATTTTAGAGCATGGAGTAAATAAAAGCTACAAAATAGCTGGCTTTTTCATTATTTTTTATTGCAAAATGCCCTAATCTGCCAATTGTTCACTTATATAGTTGGGAATCTGCCAATTGTTCACTTATATACTTGTAGCTGGCCCAGATAAATTGGTAAGAATAATCCCAATAGCCTTTAGGTTACCCTAAGTTTTGTTCAGAGAAAATGTTTTCAAGACAGATGCAAAATATCAGAAGTTTATAAAGTGTGAAGTCAATTAGGAAACTTTTCTGCTGGATAACAGTGGTTGTATTTATGTTTATTGTTGTATTTTAGGTGTGTGGCTAAAAGGCAATGTGGACTCAAAGAATGAGCAGTTTTTGTTTCACGTCTGTTGGAATAGATTTTCAAATTGCAAAAAAATGCAGTCTCAAAACCATGTTAGAAAAGCTGAAAACRTTTTTATCTGGAAAACTTAATCCTCTTTATCAGAATTGCCAGTTCACTGGTTGTGTGTATTTGGAATGTAATTGGGTCTTTACATAGGAAACAATGCTTTAATTCATTCCTTTATTCACACAGACAAGCTTTCTTCATTTTTAGTCAGTCATAGTAGCCATACTTGGTGTTAGTCACTAATGTACAATTATATTTTGAGATGCAATGCCATTAAAACTTGTTTTCTGGTTACAGAAACTGATTTCTGAAGTGAAAATTCAAGTGGATAACCAGATCCAAGGTCTTCATTTCAATATCACTGCAATCTGTCCTGATGGAAGTAAAAAAACTGGCATGGAAGGATGTAAAAATGTGGGATATAATAAAGAAGTATGTTGATAGTTCTCATTCTTCAAGGAACTGGAATACTTATTTTTCTGTTTGGTTGGGTTTCAATGGTGTGAAATCTTCTAGGGATTTACTTAAACTGAAAATGGATTTATGTGATTAATGATCACAGGCTCTCTATTATTCTCTGGGTTTATTTTTCCTGAATCTTATTTTAATTCTCACTAATCCTGTGGAACTAAGGCTCAAAGCTTTTCCTGAAAGCTAACGTCCATTAAAACTTTCCTTCTTTGTCCTCTGCTGGGCACAACCACCACATGCATTGTGATGAAATCTGTACGTAAAGAGGTTGAAAGATAATCACCCAGTGGAAAAAAAATCACTGGAATTTGTGTTTCATGGGTCTATACTAGATGTCACCTTTCTCTCTTGCTTTAGTAGTCTTCATGCATGATCAGGATTGTGGGTAATTAGTTTATTTTATAAACCAAATTAATAAAACAATTTTTTTCCCATTTGAATTGGTGCCACCTACTRAATGAAACAGAGCATCATGTACCTTGAAAATTCATGGGAAGATGTCTGGCTGATGTAAAGAATGCAGTTTTCTTCCCAGAAAAACTTCTCTGTGCCTTGATATATTTATTTAATTGCTTAGACTACTGGAGTAATTCTTTTAACTTGCCAGGAAGAGTTCTGTGTTTCTGGAGAGCAGGGTCAAGGAGTTCCTTCCTRCTTGACATGTACATATGTCTCAGCTAGTGTGATTTTACTTGTGTCTGTGTGTAGAAATAGAAAAACAAATGAGTRGATTAAATGTGTGAATTGTAATGTATTTTATGGTCTTAATTCTTAATTAATATTTCAGWGTATCATATGCTCTTCTGAATTTTGTCTGCATGCTGCTGATTAGCTTCTACAGTTTATGGGAGATTTGTTGTTTTCATTCTTATTGCATCTTTTCTCCACTGTTGTTCCCTGGGCATGTCATAAGAAACAGGACTGGAATTTGTTCTGTTTAATGAAAAGAAAAATATTTATATCTGTTTCTTTTTAATAAAAGCCAAGCCAGTTGATTGTAAAAGAGTGCATGTGGTCCTAAACCTCTACTGCTGTTGAAAATGAGCCATCCTTAAGAGATTAATTTATTTTAACCGTAAATCCTTCTTTCAGTATTTGTTTACAGACAAAATGCTTTTCCTTAATTCTCACATTCCTTTCATTGTCTAATCCTTCTTCCTTCCTTCTCTTACCAAAACACAAAGTGGATTATATTCTGGAAGAATCCTGTGGCCTCTTCAGGGTGCAAAACTAACTTTGGCTGTTAGCAAGTGTCATGGTGCTGTAATTATTTAGTTGCAACAGGTTTAATCATTTTGCTGCTGTGTTCAGAATCAAATTTCATTACTCATATGCATGACATGATTTGCCCTTCCCTCCCATTTCCCTGCCATTCTTCCAGCCCTTTTTTGTACACGAAGGTGATGTTTTCTGGCAGGGCTTTGTGTTAAATAAAAAGCACATTCCCTAGCTGCAGCCTGTCCTTCCCGTGTGATACACACCTGCTGTATGAATCAATTCCTCTATAGCCACACTTTTCCCTGYRACCCAAAGGAAGAAATTTCATGCAWGGAGAGTGTGGGCAACTGAGGCGTTATGTGTGTAGTGGCACATTTGAGAAACGAGAAGAAAAGCAAAGGGTGAGACAAAGCCCTGTGTGCCCCCTCAATATGACATTAAGTGCATGTTTCTGCGCAGCATTCTTCTCCTGTTGTCCGTGTAGGCAGCCGCAGCCCCACTCGCCACAAAGCCACCATTGTCCCCAAGGGCTGGGTTGTTCTCGTGTGGGGGCACAGCGGGAGGGAGAGACAGTGATGACAGATGAATGGCCTTAGTATGTGCGGRTAGTTTCAACCTCATATGTAATCAGTTTCTCGGGGTTTCTCCTTCTTTATCTGGAAATCTTTTTTCCTTGGTAGTAAAGATTAAAGGTACTTGCCTCTCTTTTCACTTTCTCACTTTTTCTTCCTGGTTACRTTTTCTCTGTGGGGAGGCAAGAAAGAAGAGTTGTTTTACAGCAGCAAGCCAAAAAAAATACAAAACCTTAGAGAGAATACCCTGTCAGAAGTGTACTAGTCAAAAAGAAAACCAAAAAACAATTGTGAAATACAAGGTTGATATCTAGTGTGCTAGATATCACGTGTCACGGATGTCAAAAATCTTTGGTGGTGATTGATGGAAACTCCGTGTCAATCACCTAACCACCAAAATGATCCTTAGTCCTGTGCCAGGACTACAAAAAGCCATGGRAGCTGCTGTTGTAGTGGGCACTGCTGGGATGAGGGCCTGAGGGGTGGTAGTGATGGCCGTGACATGGCCAGCAGCTCAGCACTGGGTCCACTCTGAAGCAGCACTTGGTCTGCCTGGGGCCACAGCAAGAGCAGGAAAACTGTCTTTCTCTATCCCTGTTCAAGGAACCGGGAAAAGTAATCTGCTGCTAAGGTGTGAGCCATTTTTGTGTTTTAGTGGGAATAGCTAGAGCCATCCAAAAACCTGTGTAGTTTCTATGTACCTCTCATTTCTGCAGCAGGACATTCATTATAGATTCTTTTTATGAAGAGTATCTCTGTTTCTGTTTGTGTATTGTCTTGTTCTGTCTAGTCACAATCCTTATTTCTGTGATAGGTACACATTAAGTAATGTGTTAATTAAATAAACAGGAGGATGATAGTGGTGTTTCTCTTTCCATTTAATTTGTATTAAACTTGTCTTTTGCAACTATGCTTTCTTAACTTGTAGACTTCTGTCCATCTTCTATTGTTAGGATTTCAACTRAATTTGTGATCCCCATCATTACTAGTAGATCATATTTGACAAGTGACCACTGTGTATTTTGCTGTTATCAGTTAGTGCRCATTCATATACATAACATTTACATAACATTCTGCTTTATTTAGGTGTTAAAAATTTTAAGCAAGCTTGAGCAAGAAAATAATAATAATTTAAAATCTCTTTTTCTTCTCAGGTACTTTTCAATGTTTCAATTACAATGAAAGGATGCCACACAACTGGAGCAAGAAAATACGCCATACTTAAGCCTATTGGTTTCAATGAAACCGCCATTGTCAATGTGCAGCAAAGCTGTGCCTGCCAGTATGGAGACAGCACAGGGCACAAAAGAGTGTGGGCTGATGAAACCTCTCCTGACAGCAAAGAGTCCCACTGCAGTGACAATAACTGTATTTCTAACAGAGACACACTTCCCTCAGAGGGGTGCAGGCAACACCAGGACCAGCCCATCTGCAGTGGTCAAGGAAATTGCATAGATGGAAAATGTTTCTGCTACAAAAACAAGCTAGGCAAGGTGTACGGCAAGTACTGTGAAATGGATGATTTTTCCTGCCCATACCACCAGGGAAACTTATGTTCTGGTAAGTTGCAGCATTTATATCTGTTTTATATCTATTTTCTTGTTTTGTTTTGTTTTGTTTGCTGAGGCTAATGTGCATTATGCAGCTGAAAACAATTAAAGCTGTTAAAAACGGGAATTGTTTGTGCACAATTAGTGTGGGAAATGTCCTGAACATCCTGTTAGGAATTCACATTCCTTTACCTGGGTTCTCTTCATTAYAGGCCTACACAATGCCTTCTAAATATCACCACTGATTTCTAGGGGACACATTGACTTTTTTTTTCCTAAGTTTAGTTATTTTAGTATTTAAAACTCAAAATTTGTAATAAGTAATGATACTGATTCCTCAAACAAAAAGTAACATTATTTCAGAAAGCTAGTTGATAGATTTCAGTGTAATGGGAATATCAGATACTGAGAGATGAAGAAAGGATTATAGCTTTCAGATGAGGTTCTGATTTTTACCACTCTAAATGAATCYTGTGAGAGATCCAGTGGCACTTGATTTCAAATACTGGTGTAAATGCTAAAACGATTTGGAATGCGTACTTCAGAAAGGAAACTCTTCAGTGAAACAAACAGTTGTTAGAAATTCTTATTCTTTTTGTAGTCTACTTTATGGTAGGGAAGAGAAAAAAGAGAAGATGTAAAAAATGAAAAGGAGGAAAGGAAGAKGAAGGGGAAATAACTTGGCTATGCTCATGAACTTGATACTCCTTCCACTGAATCTTACTGTTTATTTGAATACAATGTTTTCTTGCTAAAGAGACATTTGCTTAGTTTGCCTGATGTCTATTTTCCTGGTCATTGTGTAATTCCTAATCTCCATTCCTTTGATCCAAGGCAAAAGGGAGAAATTTTAGTAAAGAATTTGGGATTACATCATGGCAGCTACTTTTGCTCAACTTAATGAACAGAAGCCTTCAATACGTATCATGCCAGTAACTTCAGCCCAAGTTGTTAACTTAAAAACTAATTAGAAAGTCCAGGTCTAAATTAAATTAATGTAAAGCACAAGCAATATTAATATATMATATCTAAAAATTTATTTTCTATGTTTTCATGGAAGCATATGACTYCAGACTCTCTGTGTTGTAGGTCATGGTGAATGTGAAGGTGGTAAATGCAAATGCTTTGCTGGCTGGGAAGGTGATCGCTGTGAGTGCTCATCACAATCAGCACAGCACTGCCTGAATTCAAAGGGCCAGATTTGCAGTGGAAGAGGAAAATGTGTATGTGGAAAGTGTGAGTGCACAGATCCAAGAAGCTTTGGCCGTTCCTGTGAATATTGCCCGACTTGTAACAARGCCTGTGAAGAAAACCGGTATGTTTCTTGTGCTGGACTTGACTTTTTCACTCCCTAGCATTGAGACATGAAGAAATATTTCTGATTGGCTAAATGCTATATTTCTTAGCTATTTAGACTGTAGGAAATTGGTACACTTCATACTTGATACTTTTCTCTGTGTAGTTGGATTCACACTGGTAATTAAGAGCATTCCATGTTATCATCTATTTTAACCATTTCATTCTTCATATGAAATCTCCTGGATAGGAAATAAAATCCATAAATAAAATCTGTATTTTTAAAAATAGAAAATAGATCCTACTTTTGAATGCCACCAAGTCCAGCAATATTGTCCACATTTGTTTTTGCACGCTCCTTGTGCTTCTCAGCTGAAAGGAGGTGTAGAGCCAGAGCACTATCTGTACACTGTCACTGCCATTGATCAGCAGAGCTGGTTTTACCCAGAGAACAACRTTCTTCATTGCTCAGTTTTGAAACACTTAGTCTTTGCCATGCTAGTCTTAAAGCATGCAATTTTACATTACTTGTGTAAAGGAAGGGCTGGTGGGGAGGTTGAAATGAGCAAGCCCAGGAGGAAAGAAGCTCGACCAACCTCAGTGGTGCCCTGCCTGGGCCTGGCATAGAGAGCTAATGAAGCCCTTTCCTTGGGTATGGCTCTTCTGTGCCCTCTCAGCAGCACATGGAATGTTCTGCACTTCACTGTGTGTGGAGGGTGAAAGATCAGCCTTYCATTGGAAAAGTCACTGTGCTCAAAACAGAATGATGGTTTATTTGTACAAATTTCAATTATGGCTCATCTGGTGAAAATGYTGGAGAGCCAAGCTTGGCCATATCTGGAAAGGTAGCTGCTGGGATTTCACTAGACAAAATGCAATTAGCCCTTCTGGCTTACACTTGTTCAAAGTCACTGTGAAATGCGTGCCTTTAATTAACTCAGAGAATGGCATACCTTCATTAAAAATTCAGTCAGGGCTTTTTTGGGATCTCTTGTGACATCTGWCTCCTGCAGAGCTATACAGTGAAGACTGAGAGTATTGCCTCCCCCTTGTGCTGCTCTCTCTCTAAACTGCCCAGCAGTGCAGACTTTCTTGGCTTTGTCTTAACCTATCATCCAAAAATTATTGACAAAGCTGTAGTTTCCTCCACCTGTCTCTACCCTTCAGTTCCAGTGTGCATTGAATGAGATTGATATGTTAGGATAGAGTAGAACAGAACTGGAGGCTGAAAGCTGAAGAAAGGGTGCTGGACCTTAGCTACACCCTGTGACAAATGCAACACAAAAGGCAGAGCAGGGATCAAAAAAAGGTGGCTCGAAGCCAAAGACATGTATTAGTTTACAAATTCTGACTAGCTGCTTCTGAGAAGCATCGGAGGGATAAAATGCTGAGAGGCATCACATTTTAGAAAAAAATGTCACAATGTTTTTACTAACAACAGGAAAGCATTATGTGCAAGCAATACATCAGCCTGTTGATAGAATCTCTGAAAGCGGAGTGCAGAGAAAGACATAGTTTTTTGATTGTATTTTTTATTTTACAGGAACTGTGTTCAGTGCCATCATTCTAACAATGCATCTCAAGTAATACTTGACCAGTGCACAACCTCATGTGCTTACCTACTGCGTTACATTGACCATACTTCAGGTATGTGGCATTTTCCGGGTAATGTTAATAAGAGATTAAAATCTGTTGAGATTAATAATTGAATTTTCCATTGTTAAAATGTCTTTCAGAAGTATGTCACATTATTACAATAACAAAGAAAGAAAGCAGGAAAAAGAGAAAAAACATTCTTAGCTTCAGGGAAAGTAAAAGATAATAATAACAGGAAATATGATTGTCAAGTATTTCTAAATTCACTTTTCCCGGCTCCTTGAGAAGTCACATCTAATGATGATGAATCCTGCCTGAAAAATGCTTAAAGAAATATTCATAGAAATCTGTTATGGCATCTGTATGTTTTATTGCTTTGAATATGCTTATATTATTTGACATTACCAGAAACAATGAAGAAAAAAGTAGAATGCTTAGCTCGAGTTCAGTAATGTTTATATGTTCCTTTCAAATATAAAAAACTGCAGTTATGAGAGCTGTGAAAGAATAGAATCTTCTTTAATAAAATCTCATGAACTTTAATCATTCCATGTAGCAACAAAAATGCAGGTAAAAGGTTATCTTTTGTCTCTTCACATTTATATAAATCTTTTTATCCTACAGTTCATAAATGAGGAAACTAACTATGAATATTTTTTTCACAACTTTAGTATTAATTAAGGAAAGCTTACTGTGTTAGTCTACCACTGAGGAGGGCACKGGACAAGGATTCAATAAATCACATTTTCTTTCATATTTTACCAGTGATCTTCACTATCATCTTGTGAAGATTAAATTCTCTCTGCCCCAAATGCCTCTAATATTTCATCCTCTTTATTTCAGCTATAAACGCACTTGTCTACACAGAATTTATGGTGGACAATACAATGAAGCCTGGGTCTTAGTTCTGCAGATTAAAGGAATAATAGTTTCACCATTTTTCCACCATGGATCTTTATCTGAATTGTCTTTCTTGATATGCCCAACTTAAAAAACTTGCATATGACAATTTTCTTCCTAATCCCCTTTATTTTCCCTTAATTTTTATCAGGCTCCTGTTACATTTATGCAACATTACTAAGCAGTGTTGGATATGCCTGTGTTAGAGGAATGTGCCTGTTCCATACGTTAGGCTTTACAGTTGTATTTTCCTTTTGTTGCAGATTGCTTCTCTGGACGAAGCTACTTTAGAGTCTTTTCCATAATCTTTATAGTTACCTTTCTGATCGGGTTGCTTGTTGTCCTTATCATCAGGCAGATAATTCTGCAGGGGAGTAGCAATAAAGTTAAATCTTCATCTGATTACCGAGTATCTACAACAAAGAAGGTAATTGATTTCAGAGCCATCATCTTCAGTAATCTTTTTCTTGCATATAAAAGTTGGCTAATTGCTGATAAAAATTGTATCTTCTCCTTCAAGGATAAGATGTTTTTGCCTACAGTTTGTACAAGAACAGTAACATACAGACGTGACAAACCGGAGGAAATAAATATCGACATCAGCAAGTTGCGATTAAATGAAACTTTCAAGTGTGAATTCTGAAGACTGCAAATGTCTTATTTCCATCATGCTCGACTTTTAAAAAGTTACCTTTTGTACTCYGTGGAGTTTTGACTGTTGTCATATGGTTCTGTGTCATGCATTTTGTTGAATACTGTAACAAAGTGACCTGTAAACATATTCACATTRTGTGATTATGTTTGGAACTATAGCTGCTGTATTTTTTAAATTTTTTTTGAAAGAGAAATGTGCATTACTACTGTTCAGAAACATTAGTGTTGACRTAGCACTTTAGCATATTCTAATTTATTTAGTTATGGCCTAGAATGTAGATACAAACCGGTCTGACAAAGCACTGATCTCACTCTACATGTAGCTAGTACTGATGTGCTCTGTGGGAATGGACAAAAGCTGTGACTGAAATATTGACATTGCTGTATATTATAGCAATAGATTAAACTATTAAAATGCTCTTAAATAGAGTAAATGGTACTTTTACAGTTCTCTCAGTCGACAAATTCCACTGATTTGTCTGCCTACACCTCTTATCTTTTCCTTATAAAAATGATGGGATTAAATGAGTGCATARTTCCTGGTATGGGTGTATGTTGTGCTTGTATACACACACGTGCCTGCACACACAGGTAAATTATATATAGGTTTTCATATGGATGATGTCACTTAAAGAAAATTKATGTCTGATAAAGAGTAAATTTTAGCTTTTTTACTTGTTTAAATATAAATCCCCCATTTTATACAAAATTTGAGGTATTTGGAAACTGAGTGGCTACAGAAGATGAGGGTTCCTCTGTCCAAAAACATACTCTRCATGATGATCACTGCAAGCAGACTTCACCTTTAGAGTCAGCAGCATCAATTCCATTGCAAATAGATAAATTACACCAGAGCTGTGTTTGGTTCGCTAGCTACATGTCAGTGTTTTGCCAGATAAGGACTTTGATCTTTTTGTATGGTGATAGGTATAAATCTGGTTTTACAYGTGCTCTTTTTCTCTCTGTAAATTAGTTGAGATTAGGTTTTGTAAGTTTTTTGTAAACACTTCAAGTTTGGTGACTGTGCATTGAGAAATGTGTCCAGTGTGATAGGGAAAAGAACTTGAAATTTTGAAGTAGATGAGGAAAATAAGAGTCCTTTTCTCAAGAGAACACATTAATTGACTTTATAAATATGGAGCAGATTCTCCCTTTAGAAATGGGCAAAACTCTACCACACATGGTGGGACCAATATAAGCTCATTTGAGAGCAGAATGTAAACTGCAAAATCAAGCAGAATTACTCTTTTTACCCCTGAAACCAGCTAGAGCGGTAGAAGTCTTTTTTATTGTTATAAACCCATTGGAAGTGTCAGTCTGATTTACTAACTCTCTGCTGCTGAAACCCTACAAAAATCTGATCGCCCTCTGATGCATTAAAACCTTGCTGGCAAAATGAAAAATCATCTCAGAAGATAGTGTATCATTTTAGCAAYATTTATTACTAATACTAAATATTGTCACTATTTGTCATATGTAAGAGTTACAGAAACAAAAAGGACTTTCTCGTGTGCAGTTTTCAGGAATTACTTGTATTTCCTATTCTGTATTTCTTCTGTAAATTCCCACTGAAACCAGAGGAGTATGAGGAGTGAAAGGAAGGCAGGATGTGGAAAAATGATGAGTGTTTCATGAGGGTTAAGCTTCTTGGGTAATGGATCAAGGGGGATTGAGAAAARTCATATACAGACAATGGGCCTTTCATTAGTCATAAAAGATCTCAAGCTTAGGGATTGTTTTTTTTTAAAAAAAAAAAAAAAACAAAAAACCTGTAAACTGGACTATTAAATGGTTCTAAAGCAGTCTCCGAATTAGGCCATGAGCTTTCTACCACATAGGTAGAAGTGACTCATTTAAAGACAAAAGAAGTGTTTCTTTACACTGACCCTGACTTTGGTGATAGCTTAATTGTAGTACCTTAGTTATAGATTCATTCTCTAATATAAAGTATACCTTAAACTCTCATTTTCTTTTAAAACACAGGACCATTTTCCTCCTTGTAAATTAAAAGATTCCAAACAATTGGTTTCAGTGACATAAAGATAAAAGAGTGATAAAGATTGACCTGCTGTTACCCTTGTCACAAATCATGGCTGTTTGTGACTGGGAAACAATCTCTGGCTGTCTATTTAACTTAAAAAAACAAAAAAAAAAAAAAAATTCAGTGCTTAGTGGAATATATTTGAGTATATAAAAAAGCGGTTAATTATGTTCTTTAAACAGTGGGATAAACCGTTTGAAAAAAAAATATTTCTCTGAAGATATTGGCACCCCGAAATGGCCTTTAAAGCATGTACTAAAGCATCTATTGAAGCAATAACTATATTTTTTTTTTACTTTAGACTTACTTTTCACTGTTAGAGGGACTTACATTTTATGGGTAGGGGACAATGGAACTGCTTTTTTGGTGGAAGAAAGACTTGAGCTGTAATACCCATCTTCCAGACACATCATGCTGCTACTGCTTTTCTTCTGTGACACTTGGTTGGCTTTGCAGTGCTGCCTGTGAAGGGGCACGGCCAGTATTTCCTTATCAGACACCTGCCTGAATGTTTAAAATGCTCTGGTCAAATAGAGCAGGCTCACAGGACAAATTGCACTGTAAGCTTCTTGCTGTCTTGAGATATAAAAAAATTATTAAAAAAAAAAAAAGAAAAAAAAGAAAAAAGTTTTTTTGCATCTCCCTCTTGGYTTTGCTGTATTGTGGAAGAGACTGGTGAAAGAGAATAAGCTGCTGCTAATGTGACAGGTCAAGGCTTTTAGAAGGCCCATGGGGAGCTTATACAGAGCAGGATTCTTGGGAGGAGGCTTTGTTTCTAGGGATGGAATCTATCCATGAGAAACTCTGGCTTTGCTTGGTACTTGTTTCCCTCTGCCTTTGACCATGTTTTTCAGAAGAGCTGCTGCAGGAGATGAATAGCTCAACAAAAGCCTCACTATTTAGGGAGCTGTGTTCCCTCAGCACATGACCTTAAATGAGAAAGCAGCCTTTAATTCACAAGGAATTTCTTCAGTGATTGCAGAAGGACTGTGCTTCCTATAGTGCTTTATATGGGAGATATTAAAGACAAATTAGTTCATATTARTTTTCAATGTATTGTGCATCAAAGATGCTCATAAAAAATAGGGAAAAAAATAACTAACTTCAGAATAGAATGTTCCAGAGTTCTCAAATAAAACTTCTTATACTGGATTTCTTAAAAAAAATTAAAAGAAGTCAAATAATTCTACTACATGCTTATATCCAAAAATAAACCAACAGATACTGTTGTGTCTCATCATTGGTTTGGGGAATTATTTTTAGATTTGGTCCCACAAACRGAGCATATGCATGATTTTTACAGTATATTTGTTACTTTTAAAATCTATTTGTATAATTTTAAAAYTCTAGTTCCCCTAGTGAATGGTTATTTGCCTAGCATTTCAGAAATTGCRTGTTTGTGTAATTAAAAAGTATGTATTTTACTTCAGATTTTTTTAGTACTGTAAAATGAAGAAATATTATGAAATAGTTATTTTCAAGCATCATGACTACACTAATAAGATTGCTGCCAAAACATGTGGGAAAATAGCTGTTTCATCCAGAAAATGTGCACATGGTATGCAAGGAATTTTCATTGTGCCCAGCTGAAATTCCCTTACATTTGCAAGGGCGTTAAAGTGAACCTTAAAAAGGAAGGATGTTTGTATGGGCATAGTTTACRTTTTATCTATTATTTACAACTGGATTTATTTTTTCCTTTCTATGATGTCATGAAAACCTGCTATGTAAAGCATTTTTCTGATTGCAATGGAAAAATATTATTTTCYCAGTCTGATCATATGTAATATTTATTTCCTGCTTAGTGTGCATACCTCAATGTAAACCATGGGAGTAAACTTGTGAAACAGCTTCAAGCAACCCTCCATCCTGAAMGTAGACATAAGGTCTGGTGATGCCCAGGGCAGAGACATGCCAGGACATGGCTGGCTGTGTGGGGACTTGAAGAGGGACAGTGCTGGGGCTCCCCACAGCATCCCTGCAGAGATGSTGCTCTGAGATCTCGCTTTGCCTTTTGTCAGGGCAGGAAACCTCTGCAAAGTAGGTTGTCCGGGCAGTAGGGTGTCCTAGGTTTGCACTGCAGGCAGCCTGGGATGGCATTATGCACAGCCTGAACCCTGATGCTGCAGGCTTTTTGCATCTTTATTAGTCAGAAATGCCTGCACACAGCCCAGCGAGGGATGGCTCTAAACCTGGGTGCTGCACACTATTAAATCTGGGAGCTCTGGGCACCTGTCCATTGACTTCCCAGCAAGCCCTGGATCTCCAGCAGGCAGCCTTAAGGAATGTAAGCTGGAAAGGGCACTTCTCACAGAGCCATTTGTGCTTAGTCACTGCTGGGTGACACCTACTCTGCCCTGACTGCGAGTGACGCTGGTGCCAGCATCCTGGCTGCCCGTGTGTGAGACAGGGGAAAGCAGAAATGGAGCAGTAGATAGGAAAAACACTACTTTTAAATTCTGATCTTGAGACTGCTCTGATGCACARGTATCTGTTGGCTGTTACAGAGAATTGAAATTCATGGAAAGGCAGGGAGAAGGTTAAAATTAACCGGTGGGAATGCATCTCTATAGCAAGCCAAATCAGTGGGGTTTTGCTGAGAGCATGCCAGCTCAGAATGGTTGGCCTATCTGGGGGTGGGTGAAGGAATAAAAAACGTAAAATTTCTAGATTCTTAAGCTTTAGAAATGTTTTGAATTGCATAGTCTCTTTGTTTCCTTTTCTGTACATGCTTTGAAATAAAAGGTACCTATTTACTAAAAAAAAAAAAAAAAAAAAAAAAAAAAAAAAAATATCAAATATCTGGCATTTGTTAAAGTTATGGCCTCTGTCCAAGTTCTAACATTTCATCCTGATACCTATGTTGTATTTGGGTTGTTTCAGTTATATTTTGAAGGGAGATGTTGAAAGATGAGAGTCTTTTGCAGAGACAATAGTGATGGATGAATTCACTGTGCTAACATCTTCACTCTTAYCTACTACTGCTTCAAAAATAATGCTATTTTAAAGTGTCTTAKTGATTTTGTGACAGCTATTAATAATACTACAGTTTTAAACTTTCTATTTAACATATACTACCTTTTGTGAAAAAAAAAATAGAGATAAATAATGTGTCTTTAGATTTTATGCATAGAGAATGTTAGGAAGGGAAGAGATTTTAAATTTGATAGCTTCTTACCTTTTACATTTTAATGATACTTTAAAATCACTACTTTTGTTCATCTGGAAATATTTTATTATTTAAAATAGTATACTTTTATAGGGGTTTTATTAATTTCAGTTGACTACTAACTTCTATYGTGATATTTATTAATGAGTTGACACTGTAGTATATTGAGATGTTTATTTTTTTATCAGAGCTGTAACAACTATGACATAGCATTATTTTAATGCAACATCATTGTACTTGCTCTCTAAAAAATAAAATCAATATTTAATCGATATGGATTTTTTTGTGTTTTTAATGTTAAATATGTCTGTGACAAGGAAGGGATGTTCACCTCCTTTTGAAAATATAAAGCATATTCATTAAGCTGCACAGATGTCTGCAAAAGGAAGCATATGATTTTTGTCATTTTAAAATTGAATGGTAGTGTGTCCAGAGAGGTATAATACAAAGAATATCTTGTTTATCAGATGTAGGTAAACGTGTGGATGCACATACATGATGAACTTTAAGATGGGAAGGAGCACAACACCATTAATCAGTTTGGAGGTGCAGCTGGTTTACCTTGCCCAACCTAACTGAAACATGAATGCACCAGCAGGTGTTGGTACTTGGTAGGGAACAAGAATGTACTTCCTGTATAAATACAATCTCCAGATTGATAGGTGGTTGTGATAGCCCCTTTTCTCCTTTGCTCTRTTGGTGGTAGAGGAGCTGGATTTCTGGGAATGGGTAAATCCRTCTGCAGATGCCTCATCTGAGCTACTCTCTGCACACTTGGATTACTTTATGAGTGCTGGTGAAAACACATCCTCTTCTTGAGCAGAATCAGTCCTAGCATTTGCTTCACACAGTACCACAAAATTGCTTATGAAAAGGACTTTAGATGTGCTCTATATAAATACATTCAAAAATTGCCATAATGCCTCAGTAAGAGATACTTGTGGCACTAAGACACCTGCCAGACATCACTGGTAAAACTACCYGTCCCTGCTTCTAACGTGATCCAGTTTTTGCTTTAAGAATGAGAGAGCTACAATCAAGTGACAACTGATGTGTTCTCAGGTTCTCAGTCATCGTGTAACTTAATGTCCAGGACCTAACCATAAAAGAACTAAGGAAAGAGCCAAAACTGGAAAGGAAAAAAAAGTAAATATCACAAGGACAATCTGTTAATCTCTGTTGCTTCTTTTATCAAAGCAAGGAGCATCATCCCAATATATGTGTGGTGAGACCGAGTCTGAGAAATTTCCTTTCACAGCTGCCACAATGAACCTTCACTGACACCCAGAGCAAGCACATGCAACCAGTCCTACAAACCGAAATACACATTTTCCTTGAAAGCTCTTTATTGAGGAAACATTAATGTTGACATTAAACAGTAAACATAAACCTGGATCTGAATTTCAAACATGCAATTCAAGCGTATAACTTGAGCTGGAGCCATGGGCCTCCATTTTGCACTAATCTTGAAGTTAGGGTTTTGTTAACACTTAAATCTCCTATAGACACTGATCCTGGCACCAAGCACT